CGAATAAAGAGTTCCTTTTTATCCACACGATTTCGCAGTTGGTATCAATGAAATAGTCTGATATATGCATAAGGCGTTGTATGAATGGATTAAACGAACAGAAAGAACTTTTCAAGAGACTATGAACTGACTTTTGTTTCAGAATGATTTTGTTTAAAAATTTCAGAATTTTCAACATATCAAACATGTTGTATTTTCAAAAGTATGGCTCGAGTGGAATGTATTATAACTTTTCCATAGGTCGACAATGAAATATTATGCAAGAAAGGAAACGAATTCTGTCATTTTTTAACAACTAAATTCATATATCTTGTTGTACTTATCATAAAATATAATTTGATACAGACAGTATTCAAAATAACAAGAGATATTTTTTTTCATCACAACAAATAGAGATGTATTTTCGAAATTAGATCACTATGAAGGAGAAAAATATCAATTTTTTACATGTTGTGTAATAATAAAAATCTATTTCTTTGTGAAAATAAAACTATTCGTATTCAAATATTAATATTCAGTTGTTCTCGAGGGTGAGGATGTGGGTGTGGGTGTGGATGAAGAACCTAACAACACCCAACCGTCACCCACATTCTCACTCACACCCTTGCCAATTTTGGTGCAAACAATCTTTGTATTGTATTTGGTCTTGAAGATGGTATGTTTATAAATCGAACATGTTATCCATTGAAGTATGATGCTTGAGCAACAAGTGTTGCTTTAAACGATTTAAACAATGACAATCGAAATGATATCGTTGTAGCAATGTATGATACAGACAATGTAAATATTCTCTTGAACATTTATTAGAATTTATCCTCAGATCTTTTTTATGTCATAAAAAATAAAAATATATCTTAGAAAACTGAATGGAAATATATTATCGAATAATAATGATCGAGTTGTAAGCAGTTTTCCATAAATGAATGCTGTTTAATATGAAATTCGTATAATCAGAAATTTGAGGATATATTTAATTTGTTTTTTCTGGCATGGTTAAATAGGATGTATTTGTAATGCATAGAGAGAATAGCACTTATACATAATAGTGATGATCGCTAAGAAGATTCAATTGTTGACTAGAAAAATGAAGAATATATTCATTTTACTTGGCATTAAGATTGTTAAATGAATAGTTCTTTGATTTAGGTTAGTAGTGTATATGAAAATATCTAAATAATCTCGATGAAATGTCCTAAATTCAATTGAAAGATAAAAATCAAATATTGAATATTATGTAAAAACTCATTCTTCCTTTTTTTAAATGAATATATAATGTCTATTCCATTGTGTGTTTAAAAAAAATAAATAATTTAATATTCTTATGTTTTCAAGATAAATTATTATTATTTACATCAATCCGACAGTATGATTTTAAATCTATTTTTTACAGAAATTGATTAGTATAAAAAAAGTGTTAGTCATTTTTAATAGAAAATTTTAAATGTAATTTTATCTCTATTATAGCAAATAATCATTCTTTTTCTCTCACACATATGGTGCAATTTTTATTATTATTCACATATAGATTAAATACGAATAAAATTTCATCTTTGTGTTATTTATAACTAGAGGTGTAAGCCGTCAGCCGATTTTTGCTGAAGCCGACGGCTGGCAGCTTCCGTTTTTGCTAGAGCCGACGCGCGTCCAAGCTGACGGCTTACACCTCTATTTATAACATAAATAATCAAATAACAATCTGTTAAATGTTGTAATATAATAATGAAATTAATTCAAGAGAAAATGATTGTCATTAGTGTTGATGTTAATTCATCAGTTGCACAACGAAGTAGATAAAATGTGAATTATGATTTTCAATTCTCATCAGATGTTACCAAATTAAGTAATTTTATTAAATGAGAGATACACAATTTCAACAAGTAATCAAGTAAAAAGAGAATTAATAGAAATACTTCTGATCGATACAAAAAAAAGAAATGTTAATCCATTTGAATAATATTTTATTCTTCCTCATGAACTGTTGACAATAAATTTTCTATTACGTAGAAAAAAATGAACAGATGAGATTTATGTTTGAACAATATTTTGTTTTATGAGAAAAGGGATAGAATATTCTAATGGAACATGATTTTCACCTACGTCAAATCTTTGTTAATCATGATAAAAAAAAACATCAAATATTGAAAGGAAAAATGTTTCTATTTGAAAAGCTAATAGATTTTATTTTTTCCAGCAACTTCTTTTTCTTTTATTCACACTGAGATTGAATCAGCCTGTTATTCATATTTTTTTCTATAAGAATAAATCTTTAAATGATCAAATATCTTCTTCTCGATTAACTGTTTTGTTCACTCAAATTTTCCTTTCAATTACTTTCAGAACAAAACCGTCAATTATCTATTCAAATTTCAATAACAAAATACAATTTATTTATTTATTGATTTAATAATGAAATTCAAAACTTTGATTACATGGCTTTATCAAAAAGGAGTTAATTACAATCTTTTTATGTTAAAAGATGATGAATATGATGATGATGATGATGATGATGATGTTAATATTCAAGATCCAACAATTACTCTTAAACATCAAAAATATAAAACTCGGTTATATGTTATTCTTCTTACCGGTAAATATATTTTTTATTTTATTTAATAAACATATCTATTAGTTCTCAGTCCTGAAAGGATGAGTTGGTAGCACGGAAATTATTCTGTTTGTCTGGTGTCTCATTGGTCAATTGTCTTAACCAATCAGATTTCACCATCATAACATCATGCAATCCTTATAACTTGAGAGCGGATGAAATAGGGTAGATGTAGGGATGTACCGAGCCCGAGCCTCTCGGGCTCGGGGCTGGTCGGGCTCAGGTGTCAGAAACTCACTCCTACATCAATCTGACACCCGAGCCCCGAGCCCGAGAGGCTCGGGCTCGGTACATGCCTAGGTAGAGGCGGATGAAATAGGTTAAAAGTGGGTGAAATATAGTAGAAGTGGGTGAACTGGGTGAAATAGGGTTGAACTGGGTGGACTGGGTGGAATAAGTTGAGAAGGGTGCAATGAGTGAAGTGGAAGAAGGGTGAGTAGAAGTGGAAGAAGAGTGAGTAGAAGTGGATAGGAATGGGTAGGAGTCGGGGTAGGTCTTGATGGGTGAGACAAAAGACCTTGATGCTGTGAAATAATGCATACAGTTGGAGATCTTGAGGGTGGGTGAAATTATGAGTGTGATTAGAGATCACGATGATTAGTGAAATAGTGGGTGGAATTAGGGACCTCGATATTGGGGAGGAGGGGGGTTAGGGCCTTGATGCTGGGTGAAGCCGTGGGTGGCGTTATAAATCGAGGTGTGTGGTGTAAATATGGGTGCAGTTATAGCCATGGGAAGAAGATCAGTCAACTTGTGGAAAGCGTCGTGACGGGGTTTTGTCATTGATGTTTTTGGAAGAAACTTTGTGTGATAGAATATGTGAATTTTCTTGTGCCGTGAATGTCGTTTCTATTCATCGAAAACAAAGCATATCAATACCATCTGAGTAGTGTTCCGAAAATAGCTTTCTTCAGTTACTTAATCTCACTATATCATATGCTTAATAGTCTAACATAGTAGTTTTTGCAGTGCATCTATTGTTTCTTTCAGGATTGAGTAGAGCTAGATCTAAGGGATCGACGCGTTACTTGTTATTTAGTTATATTGAAATAATATCTTTTGTTTTAGTTTGTCTTTATATTTTATTTTATATAAATTTAATCAAAATAAAGCCAACTACTGTAATTGTATCGGATATAACATTAGATTTATATAATAAACTTTATACTGAACATCATCAAACACTTTCATGTCCATGTTCAACAATAACAATACCTTATGAAAATATTACTTCAAACGATGTGATAATACATCCTGTTTGTTCAAGTATTTTCGTTGATCCAATATGGATACAAGGATTATATTTTGAAGAAGCAAGTCAATATGGAGTTTGGGATTTTCGAACAACAGCATATTCACAAGTAAGTATTTCTATTATCTATCAATCATCTAGATTTTTTTGTTTCTTTCTTTAGTTTGAATTTTTATCGAGTTTTTGTTCACTTTCAAATGAAGTCATTTCTCAAACTGTGACTGCTGTTGATCATAATGAACTTGTTTCTCTTTATCTTCTTTCTGAAGAACAAATTCGAATTGAAATCGATGGAAAAATTGAATATCTGAAGAATAGTGCAGCTTCTCGAATGATAACATTTCTGAATTATTTAAGAAACACAAGTAATACACATTATTTCGTTTCGGCTCTCAATACAAACTTTATAATCGAAACGTCAATTGCGTCAAATGGATTTTCCATTTTTTTTGCACACGAAGTACACATGTTTGATGTTTATTACGAACCGAATTGTGGTGATACCGTACTGAAAATTGATGCTACTTTTAGTCCACAATCATACGAATCAATTGACCGCTCTGATAGATATGTAATATCCCCAATGCCTAATTCTAGTACGGTCACTGGATTCTTTGCAGCGTGTACTCCTGTTGAAGCAATTCTTGAAAGTACATTAGATTGTCTTTACGAAGTAGAGTGTCTTCACTTATTACTCAACTACTTTCCAAATCTAACAACAGTTTGTATCAAATCATTTCACATTTCTCTTAAATCTTCTTTCTATGTTTCTATTCTATTTAGATCAATTTCAATCCAGATGATTCAGTTTTATCTTCAGAACATGAAAATATATCAGTTCATGAATATTTGGATAATCTTTTCATCAAAAATTGGTCAAAACAAATAAATTATACGAAATATTTTGATCTATGTTCTCCATCATCATGTTCATATTCAGCCGTAGAACGATCAAGCGTAGTTTATGCAATTACACTTTTTATCAGTCTCTATGGTGGTCTCATCATTATACTTCGTCTGATTGCATCATTTTCTATTGATATGTTTATGAAATGGAAATTTTGTATGAAAAGGAGAAATGACAATTCAGCAGGTACTTTTTTCGTTTGAAATTATGTAATACATTATGAATATTTATTTAATTTCTAGTGGAACAAAGAATCAATCAATTCAAATTTGCCCAAACAATAAAAAGATTAAATTTATTTAAGAATATAAATGATCGAACAGAACAAAGTATTAAACATCAGAAGGTGGTTACACGTGTCTATTTGATTTTATTATTTGGTAAAGTTTTGATAAATTTTTAGAAAAAAGAAATATCAATCTTATGATTCTATTTCATCTCTTTGTCATATGATAGGTTCAATATGTACTGTTTGTTTATTTACATCATTAAATAGTGAAAATGTAACAATAACTATAACGAACTTATCAATGACAACTTATAATGATTTGGAAGATCAACATTACAGTACACTTCGATGTCCATGTTCAAACAAAGCAATATCTTATAAAAATTTTCTCTCGTTATCGCCACGTTTACATCAAATATGTTCAAGTCATTTCGTTCATAATCATTGGATTAATATATTGAGATCCCGTCGCAAACATTTCCCTCTTAAGGATTGGCGCAGTCAACTATATTTACAAGTTCAGTTTTTGTCTGATTTTTGTCGTTTAGCTAATAAGACGATCGATGATGCCGTTATTCGATATCTTTCTCAGTTGTTTATTGTTTCTTCTGTTATGCATGAAACTGAATTTAACAAACAAGTCAATGCAAGTCTCAATCAATTTTATCAATCAACAACTTATAATTTTGATGTAATGACGGATGTTTTACGACTCTTGATGCAGATAGATCAGCTATATATACAATCAGCGAGAATAATTTATGGACGAGTTGATGATGTTAATTTAATAAGCGAGGTGATGGCAGATGATGGAGACTCTACTCGACTAATCAAAGTATGTTATTATGTTTCGCATGAAAAAAAGATGCATTCAGAAATTTACGTCGTTAAGGCTCCCTAAAAAAAGTCAATCTTCGTGAGAAATTTCAAAATTCAGACAAATGTATGGTAGGATAGTATGTAGTCTATTCTTTATAAATGCTAATAGTTGTTCCTCAATAGCTGACTTTTCTTAAAAACAATCTTTCAAGTTTCGAGTCTGTGATTAGGCATGTACCGAGCCCGAGCCTCTCTAGGCTCGGGACTAGTGGCGTATCTAAGGCCTGGCATTGCCAGGCCACCGAGAAAAATTCTTACTAGGTACTTTATTTTTTTACTATATTGTCGATGAATTTAAATAAGAACCGTAAGGCATTGCCAGGCCACTAGTCACATCCTGGATACGCCACTACTCGAGACTTGGTCAGGCTCGGGGTTCGTTCGGGCTCGGTACATCGCTATCTATGATCTTTTATATTCCATATTGAATTTTGAGAGAAAAATATACTATTTCGAATTAAAAGTAGGGGACTATGAGAACCAACGGGAACTCCTAACATTCGAAAGAATAAAATAACGTTAGTGATAAATACCAGGACTTTACTAAAAAATAGGAGTTTAGCCCCCTTAGCTCCCCGAGTCTCTTTAGTTACCCTAGCCCCCTAGTTTCCTTAATCCCCTTAGCCTCACTAGTCTTCATACTTCCGCTAGTCTTCTTAACTCTACTAGTTCCCTTCGTCTCTTTAGCCCCACTCCCACCTCATGGTTCATCTGTTAAAATAAACCATTACAATTCCTCTAGGCAGACATGCCTATAGAAAAGACACCATTTTATAGAAGTTTTTTCAATCATTGAACTTGTCAGTATTCTTCTTCGCTGAAGAGTTATGAATTCAAACGAAGAGATCGTAAGGTAGGGTAACTCTTAAGAGAAGCTTTCAAACTAAATCATATATATATATTTATGTATAATAAATATCCATAGAGATTTCTCGAAGATAAAATGAGTTATTTTTTAACTGTTACTTGGCTCATATACCCGTCCAATGTTTATGTATCAAGTTGAAAATTTTACCATTGTCTCATCACTCCTGCCCCAAACTTATGCTCCAAATGTCGGCCCATTTGAATCTATCTGAGTTGAGATCCATTTTTCAAGCGAAGAGTTCTTTAAAACTGATACCATTTGTGTTCATTTTCGAAGATAAAAAAGTTTTTTTTACATATTTAAAAAAAATTGAAATCACAATGTCAATCAGAGCGATCATATTTTATTAAGGATATATTCTTCGGATTATAATAACAGAGGGTGAATGTAAACTAAAGTATTTTTCTCGTTCACGTTTAACCTAACCTCTCACCCTCTCCATCATATGAAGCGTTCGTAAACATCCTTTGTAACACCTCCATACATTTTTTGTGGTTTACACACTTAGTGGCATTTCAATCATATACATTCGAAACTCATATAAAAATAGAATTCTTTTTATTTAATTACTGTCGACGTATAAAACTGAACTTTCACTATTTTATTTATAGTATCACTTTCTGTTAAATGAAATTCAGCAAATCAATTCAACAATGAGCAAATGTGTTTGTGCCATAAATCCATATTGTCAAACACCATATGTTGTATCTGATCCTGGTTTCAACGCTTATAAAAATCTGGTTTACGACGTACCAGGTTCGATTCGACGATGCCTGCCTATTGATTCTCTTCTTTCTTCATCACTTGAATGTTTATATGAAGATTATGGTTGCTTTCCATTATTGATAGCCTCTTTTTACGAAACATTGGATAACGAAAATTATAATCCATCCTTAACATTTGATTTTGGTCCATTGATCTATAATCCAGCAACGACTCTATTTCCTCCAAATGCAACTGTTTCAAGCATGTTTAAAGAAATGATGGTCGAACAATGGAATCCATTCATGTCTTATAGATCATTTTTTGAATCATGTGCACCTACTTATTGTACTTATTCTCAAAGAATGCGTACAGAAAATTTTCTTGGAGTGATCGTAACAATAATATCAATGATTGGCGGTCTTATACTTTCATTACGAATTGTGACACCTTATCTTGTTAAAATTATTGTTGGATTAATGGAAAAACTTAAGAAAAAAAGACAACGAACAGAACGAGGTAAGTTTGATTAAATCTTTATTGAGAAAGTTCACAATTGATTATAATTAAGTTTTTCATTGAAAGTATAGCAGAGATGTCCATCGCGGTTGAGAATCTGCCGCTGCCGCGCCGCGACTATAATAAAAAGAAGCGTGCCGCACCGCGACGCTGCCCCGATGAGACTTTTAAAAATCTTCCGATTCTCAAGGCTGAGAGTGGTTTAAACGAGAGCTGTTGCTACTAATCGATGAGATTCGTCTAGCTTTACATTGCAGAATATGTCAATGTCGATTTATGTGTCAATTTCGTAATTTTTTAAAATTGTTTTCTGAAAAAGCTAGCGTTCGCGGCGCGGCAGCGCCGCCATGGACATCTCTGAAGTATAGCAGCCGTGTGTTTCAATGTCTTTTCTTGTTTTCTTTTAATATGTTTTAGTTCATCAAAGTTATTTCAATCGAATCAAAATCATAATACAAAATATGATCAAACTCTTGTCAAAAACATTAATTGAATTAAATATCTTTTCATCATCTGATTTTGAAAGTAGTATTGACCGACTAACAGCTACATATTATGGTCGATGGGCAACACGTTTCTACATTCTGTTGTTTCTTAGTACTTTCACGATACTTATCTTTTATACAATGATTCAACCACATAGTGTAACAAAAACATTTGATCAGCTATCATTTAATTCTTATCAGCAATTACGACAAATTTATGGAAACAAATTAAAATGTTCATGTTCGCAAATAGCATCAAAATACAATGAATTTGTTGAAATTATACCAGAATTTCATCCTGTAAGTTAAAATTTAATTATTTTAGAAAGAAACAATATAGTTTTCTTCAATATGAAGAATAACTGTAATCATATGTTTCTGATTGTATAAATTCATTGAAGATTTTCTTTTTTTTTCTTCATAGATTTGTTCAAGTCAATTCGTATCGAAAGAATGGCATATGGGTATAATAAATAGTCTTGCTTCAAATTTCTCTCTATATTCAAAAAATGATTATCGTCGATTTATTTCTTCTCATCTACAATATCTTCAAGGACTATGTCAAATCTCAAAAGATTCAGTTGATAATACTATTAATGAATTTCTTACATCATTATTAGTTACTGTTGAACTTCTTTCCAAAGAAAATTTTCATCATCGTATTGAAATCCTAATTGAACAAAGTAAATCCAATATTCCTTTCTTAGTTTCTCGTTTTCTCTTCACGATTCAAACTTTTAATCATGGAAATGCTTTTATGACAACATATGGGACAAATTTTCAATATGTTTCTCGGACATCTGATTCTTATGCACATACAAATGCAATGATTTATGATGATAATTGTTCATGTGGATTATCTTCAAATTGTACAACACAAGCTAATTTTATTGAAAAATCAACAATAATTCCAATTGTAGGATTAAAAATGGGATGTTTACCAAGTGAATCATTTCGATTATCAACTCTTGAATGTTTTTATAATCAATCATGTCTTGATCTTGTTCATAAATATACAAATTATCAAAATTCTTCAATTGCTCTTTCAACAAATCTTAGTTATTCTCCACCAAATTCAACTATTAATGAATTGATAAATCATGCATTCACTGAACAATGGTTAAAAAATATAACTTATTCTTCATATTATGATGAATGTTTTCCTTCAGTGTGTTCATATACTTATATTGAAAAGTTTAATATTCTATATCTCATAACTCTATTTCTTAGTCTTCAAGGTGGTGTAACATTAGTTTTGGCATGGATTTGTCCAAAAATAATTCAAAATGTATCAAAAATCTATCATTATTATCGTAGAAGAAGACAAAGAACATCAGTTTATCCACATAATTCACTTTCAATGTCATCAAATGATTTTAATATTCAAAATACAAATAATAATGCTGATAATCAAACAGAACAAAACAGAACATTTGAGTAAATCATTAATGTTTTTACTTTCTTTCTAATATTAAGTTTATTTTGTTTAGACAAAGAATTAGTTCACCAAGTCGACGTTACTCGAAGAGAATTTTGATAATCTCATTATTAATATTGTTAATCATTAGTATAATTATCTTTTCAATTTATTATGCACGAAATGGTAACAAATTTCTTCTTTTCTATGAAAGGATGAGTATAGAAAAGGAAGATTGTCATGTTTGTTTGATTAATTTTTTCGATCAATCAGATTCCATGATGGGAGACTAGAATTTTTAGTGTATATGTGTATAAGGCTTATTTGTAAGGCCTAGATGGATGGAAGTGTTGGCTTAAGTTATTTAAGTATTGATGGCCAAATCCATACTCTCTGTTAGAAGACCACTTGTGTATGAAAATGTAATTGATATGTGTCGAAAAAAAGATCTAATGGCGATCTCGTTGAGTTGAAAATATATAAGTTCCTCTTCATCGGATATTTAATAGAAAAGTGGATGAGGGCGTGGGTGTGGGTATGGGTTAGGGAGCTGCGGAGTACTCCGAAACCCGATTATGACTCCGACTCCGGCGGAGTCGGAGTCGGGTTTATCGAAAAAAAATTTCGGAGTAAATCGGAGTCCGAAATCATAATCTCACCTAATAAAATTTTGTGTTTTTATGAACTAATAAGTTTATACTTCGTACTAATCAAAATAAAATGACAACAGTTTCTATAAAGATTAACAATAACTTTCAAGACAAAGAAAAATGAATCATTTTCTCGTTATAACATTCATAAGAGCAACTACATTAATCTTAAAATATTTCAATGTCATCTGAATTACTGTAATTATCTTCATCATCAGTTCTTGATTGTTTAGACATAGTGCATATTGATGAAAAAGCTCCCACATTTGACCAGAGTTTACATTTTTTTTCTTTTGTACAAGCCTAACAGATTTATGACTATCATCTATTAATTTTTCAAGTTCTTTTCTTGACAAAAGCTTCTTGGTCATTATTATTTTCACCTTCGTACAACAATGAAAAAAATTCTAAACTAATATTAACATGATGACTTTTAATTTTTATTCATTCGTTTGCTTCTTTATTCATTTGCGCATCGTAATTTTTAAGTACTAAAATATATGAGAGCTCGCTCTATCTCATTAACAAAATTTCGGAGTTATTCCGAGTTTTTCGGAGTCGGAGTCAAAAAATAAAAATTCCCGGAGTCGGAGCCAAAAAAATAAAAATTCTCGGAGTCGGAGTCGGAGTCGGAGTTGCCAGGAAGAAATTTTTCGGAGTCGGAGTCGGAGTCGGAGTCAAAAAAAGTTGATTCCGCAGGTCCCTAATGTGGGTGTGCGTATAGATGTAGATAAACGAAAACACTTACACCCACACATGCTCACACCCACATTTACACCCGCATCGACCCACACCCTAATTGTTAAAATATTTGTTGTTTTCTTAATAGTTTCAATGAAAAATAAAACAATGGATAGAACTTTGAATACAACAATAACAAGTACAACTACAATGATGTCAATATCTTCCATTACAACCGGTTAGTTTCATCTGTTTCGATTAGATATGGTTTCTTTCTATAAATACACTCACGAAAAACTATTTTATATAAAGGAGATGAATAGATAGAAAGATGCTTGAGATTAATGTATAGATACTAATAGATCATCTTTTAAAGTGTAAAATGAAAATACGAATGACGAAAATAATCTATGAAATTGTATCCGATCAGAGTCCTTTTTTCTCTTAGAATCGCTTTGTCAAGATAAATTTCAACAACAAATATCAACCAATATTTCTTGTTCCGAACATGATGAGAACAACTTTCAAATTGCTACTGGTGATTTTAACAATGATAATCGAGTTGATCTCGTATATTCTTGTAGATCTAATCAAAATGAAGAGATAATTGTATTAATGAATAATGGCAATGGAACATTTCATAATTCATCAGTTTTATTATTGTCAAGATCTGATTGGATAACTCATATTTATGTTGTTGATTTTAATAATGATAATCGATCGGATGTGTTTTTAATACATGGATCTAATTTTATAATTTTATTGAGCACTGATAATGAAACATTTGAATATCGAACGGAATTGACAAATAAATATATTAGCTCGATAAATGAAGTTCATATAGCCGATTTTAATAATGATAACCAATCTGATGTGCTTTTAATACGTAATACAGAACCAAACGAAAATCTAATCGTTTTCTTGGGAAATGATAATGGAGCATTTCAAACACAAATTATGGTATCATCTACAAAAATTAGTAAAGCGATACATACTGCAGTCGTATACGATCTTAATAATGATAAAATATTAGATATTGTTATAAGCTTTACACAGCTCGAGAAGAACGTTTGTATCATCTATGGGCGTGGAAATGGAAGTTTTTCATCAGGAATTTTATTATTCGAAAGAGACATGATTTATGCAGTCACCTTAGCTGTGACTAATATTAACAATGATCATTATGCTGATATAGTTATATGTGATGAAGACTCTAAACATGTTTATGTATTATTTGGAAGTGCAAATAGAACATTTCAAACACAAAAGCCATTTTTCACTGCTATTATCTCTTTCCCTTATTTTCTATTTATCGATGATTTTGATAATGACAATCAATCTAATATCGCTTTTCTTTATAGTCTGTACGATTTTGAATGCAAGATATATCATTACCATAATAATAGTTTTAAGAGAAATGAAAAAACTGTCATTAAATCGCTGGGAGGATTGAATACAGTTATTGGTCGTGATATTAATAATGATAATTATTTAGATATTATCCTTGGCACTGTTAATCCTAATAAGATTTATGTTTTATTTGGATATGGAAATGATCGTTTTTATTCACATATGGTTTATTCGGGTGAATATCAGCTTTTTCCCTCTTGGTTAGCTGTTGGTGATTTTAATAATGATAATTTCCAAGATATAGTTAGTGCTAATTATGACACTATGCTTATTGATGTTTTCTTATATAAACGTGAATGTTCCATTGCTTAAGAAGATTCAAAGATACATTTTATGTATTATTCAGTTCATTTCTTTAAAATGTGCTCATCAAATAAAAAAAAAAACATTGATATCCTATAAATTTTTAATGCTGTTTATCTTGCTTCTCTTTTTGCATTATGACGAAAGGACAACCAATAAAATTCTTGATAAATCAAATAAACGTCATCTAGTTAATAATTTTAATAATTGAATCGCTATTCACAATTAAGAAAGATCTATATGTTTAGTTAAAGTAGATTTAATCAACAAACAAATTAGTGTGCGTGTGGGTGTGAGTGTGGATGACATTCTTCTTATTACCCACACCTACACCCTCAATTTTCATAAAAAGTAACTTAAATATATTCATTTTTATGTATGTTTATTCTCGATAAGTTGGTCTTTTCAGGAATGCCTATTTAATTTAAAAGCAAAGATATGATACAAAGCATACAGTCATGTCATAGTTTTTTGAAAAAAAAATCTTTTTTTCCCTTTAGGATACAATAAGAAATAAAGAAAACATGTTTCTCTTGATAAAATTTTGATCATTTTTATAAATAACTTTTTGTTGGAATATCTTTTTCCACCTTTATTATAGACAAATCATCCATTTCAATGTCTTGAATTTTTGACGATGATCGACGCAGACGATCGAATACTGTACGGAACACTGGAATGAACAATAATTTGATGAGAAGAAAGATTAAACCAAACACTTCTAATACGACAATTGTGAAAAGAAGACTATGAAACATAACTTCAGTTTGTCTAGCGATAGGTTGTTGTAAATTACCAATATAAAATATATTTTGTTCAATTGTAACACTAATATTTGTCGTTGTTCGATAGAAGAATGTATATTGACTCTCATTAGTAAAGAGTTGAGCTGAATTAAC